TTGCTTTCTGCTAGGGCAGAGGCTCTCTTTTCTCTTCATCAGGTGAGCTCAAAAAGAGAGGAAAAATGGATATATTCTGCTACTTCTCTGGAGATGTCATTAGGATCCTGGAGCAGTCATATGGCTGTACGTTAGCACGTTGTAGTCTTGTGTCTCCAAACACGGTCCGCAGTAGGAAAATGATTGCCTCTCCCCCCAGCTCCCCGCCCCTTTTAGAAGTAAGGAAACCAAAGCATCAAATGATATTGTAACTTGGCCAAGGTCATAGAACAGGTGAGCAGCAGAGACAACAACATGCTGGAAGTCTCCTGGTTTAGTTACACTTTGTCCTCTTCAACCACATTTATTTCTGCCTAATCAAAGCCTCTGTCCACGTGAGGGCAAGTGCCTCCTTTGAGACCAAAACCAAGCAGCTTGGCAAAAGCAAACAGAGTTGAGTACGTATTGCATGTAATTAGACGTTAATATTAAGCCTAGCTTAAAGGAAGGAGTGGACACTGATTTCTGTTTGCATTTCCTCTCTCTTTAAAGCAGTTTTAACTGGGAATGCTAAAAGGTTGCAAGCCATCGGGACAGCTTTCTCCTCAAGGCAGTCATTCCTTAATCCCTGTGCAAAAAGAAGGCAAAAGGTAACCTGCAGCACAGTTATTGTGGCTTAGTAAGTGCCTCTGCACGTGTGTGAGAACTAGATGCTTAGGGAGATTTTTTTCTCTGTACTTCCAGCACTTGCCACAACAGTACATGCTCGGTTTATAGTAGCTATTCGTTTCAGACACTCAGATTCATTCGCTCAGTAGCTGAGCTGTCACCATGCAATGTGTCAGAGCTTTGTATGCTATAGGAAGGCCTCCTCCTCTTCCACCAGCTATTTCTTTTTATTTCAAACAGGCTTTAAAAGGCTAAGAGTGAAGGGAATTCACTTTGTAAGTCATAAGATTGTCATCAAAGACAGTTTGGACTCGTCAGGCCAGTAGAGCTCTGGTGAAGCACGCAGGCTGGGTATGCAGGTCCTTGATGCACACACAGGGTGAACTGGTGAGGAACTGCTTCAGGGTGCAAAGCCCTGCTTTGTCTGTAAGCTGTTTCTCTTCCCTGACTTCAGAGCACAAGGAAGCTCCTCACCATGGAGTGGATTTTGCCTGTGAAGGAGCAGGATTTCAAGGTCTGGTCTTTTTTTTGAGGTATTTTACTGTGGAGCAGCAGCAGAACATGAGCAAGCTTCCCTTTTTTGGGGCTGGAAGCAAGAGCCTTGGCTGAGAAAGGTATCCTAGGATAAACTGAGCCGAGTGGCCACGTGAAGGGATCTGGCACAGTGGTAGCTCGAGGTTCAGCCATTAAAGGTAGCTATAGACCTCCAGGAAGAGGCCATGTGGTTTGAGAAGCTCTGACGCGAGAAAAAGCAGGAAGCCTCTAAAGACATAACAAGGCTTAGTGGGAAATTAGGAAGTATATCAAAAAAGGAAGGAAAAATCCAGTGGTGCATGGGTTGTAGGCACTTTATGACAGTGGTAGAGGGGAATCTCACATACCCACTGCCAATCTGGGTGTCAGGGTGACACATGTGATTCCTCCTTCCCACACTGAGGCTCTTCCCTGGCTCAAATCAATCCTGCAATGCTCTGGCTGCACAAATCATTTCTGTGCTGCAAAGCCCTAGCAGCACAGTCACTGGGTAATTTAGTCATTTATCTTGCCCTGCCACACACAAGGCTATGGGTTTATCAGGACAGTTTCCTGAAGCAGTGCTTCAATTTTCTCTTTAACTAGCTGTAGTTCCTCTTGGATTCAAAAGAATTAGGGATGACAGTCAGGAAAAGAGAATTCTTCTGAAGTGATAGATAGACATGAAATAACAGGGGAGAGAGGCAGAGAGACATGATTCAGTGAAATAGTGATGGAATATGAAAGGTCGAGTTTGCAGATGGAGCAGAACAGACAATATGGTGGATCTGTCATGAGGGGCCCTGCTGATGTTGTGAAGGAAATGGTGGACAAAGAGGGAAATGGTGGACATATCTTTAAGGGCTGGAGAGGTCAGCAGAATTCTGGATAGGCTCTGACAGATTTTGCTACTGAGGAGTGGAAAAGCATACAGCCCATATGGCTGGACTTCTCTTGCTCCGTTTCACAATTAAAAATACATGGCTGGGGGACACCTGTGAGTGTGCCATCTGCCCCCTGTGCTGCTCTCAAGAGAAGCTGTAGCAAGAGGGGAGTATTTCTCCTTGATGCTGGGAACTCCTGGTAGGAGAATGGGTGTCTGCATTGCATCATTAGCAGCAGGTTTATCGAAAGGAGATCCCCCCCACTCCCCAATCTCCTCTGCATGGCATCTGAGCTTGTTCTTCTGAAACGCCTCCCTCCACCCCACCCCTTTTCACCCAGAGTTTGGAAGGGTGGGACTACTGTTCATATTAGTGCGGGGAAGCTACATCAAAGCAGCAAGTCTGGCATGTTCTTCAACAATTCAGTAGGCCTGAATGAATGAAGCATTCCTAGTCCCATGCTTCACAGTTTTCTTTGTACATGTTTCCTGAGTAAAGAAAACATTGTTATCGGTAAGGCTAAACTCCCTGTATTTACGGGAGAAATGCAGCAACTAAGAAATGGCTTAAATCTCCAGTCAAGTGAATAAGCCTTCCAGATTCCAGGGGAAAGCTGAAGTTTTCTCTTGATGACTAACTTGAGTCTTGGTATGTATGTCTAACTCTAAAGGCCCACATGTTTTGCATAATTGATTCCTTTGTTGGTAATCCCTGCAGCTGGGGATATTTACTGAACGCTTCTGGATTTATTTGTTATACCTAAGAGAGCATGATGGATCCATCAAATAGCTTCATTTTATATGAATCAAAAGGAAAGAATATGCTGCGCATATTTTATCACTGTAGAGGAAATAAATGTGTTCCACAGCTTGCCTGTGAGCAAGCTAATGACAGGGACTGCGTGTTTTGTTTGTAATATTTCAATGACACACTATACTATGAATTAGAAATAAGTGCTACTAATAAATACCGATTATTACCAGTGAACTCTGACAGTATTAGGTCTTGATTTAGAAGATTAGTGCTCCTTTGGCATTTGCTCCATTATCAAGCAAATAAAACTGTAGAACATTTACTGTATTTTTGTATATTAACTGTAGAGGTGACTCTATGAATCAGCGTGGCCCATGAGAGTGCTGGCTCCTATGTGACCACAGGGACATCACTTCCCCACATCTCTCCATCTTTCTCTCAGATACGTAGATTGTAAACTCACGGGGACAAAGACAAGGTGCTTGTAGGCAGTGAGGCTCTGAGCCTTGTGAGAGCCTAAAGGCCTTATCTTAATCAAATAGTGAATTTTACTCACAAATGGCCCATTCTATAAGGATAACACAAACCTCTTGCTATTCTTTTACAATAGCCTATAAATAAGCGGTTCATTGCCTATGCACCACATGCATACCAGTTTACCCTGACTGAGGTATAATTTGTACCCTGTTATATCAAATAGGAAGGATATAGCAACAACATGAAACTTCTCTAGATAAGAGGTTAATTTATCATTCTCCATATAGTGATTTTATTACATTTTTGTCTATATTTGACAATGAGAAAAGGCATAAATCTAATTACATTTCAAAGTTTAGGGTTCACCATTCAAATTAAAAAATTCTTTAATCTTAAAAATCTTTCATGGAGGAAGAAGGTAATTACACAATGGCATTGAGCAATAACAGAGTTTTTAAAGGGAGTGACATTTTGACTGCAAAGTTGACAAGTTCCCAGAATCACTGAATGGCTGAGGTTGAAAGACAGGTCTGGAGATCTCCTAGTCCAACCCCTCTGCTCCAAGCAAGGTCAGCTACTGCAGGTTGCTTGGGGTTTGAACGTCTCCAGTGATGGAGACCCCACAACCTCTCTGGGTTATCTGTTCCAGTGGTTGACAGCCTTCACAGTAAAGAAGTTTTTTCTTACGTTTGAATGGAATTTCCTATATTTCAGTTTGTGCCCATTGTCTCTTCTCCTTTACTGCATATCACTGACAAGAGTTTGACTCTGTCTTCTTTACTCCCTCCATCAGGCATTTATAGACATTGACAAGATTCCCCAGGCTAAACAACCCCAGATCTCTCAGCCTCTCCTCATATGACTTTATGAAGTGAATAGACTTCATTAAATAATATAGAAAGAAAATATGAATATAAACATAGCATGAAAAAAAAACCTGATGTTTTAAAGTTGGCACCCTTGTGGCTCCCTGATGAGATCTGATGGCAATTCTTAGTCACATATGTTGTAACTGCTGACATGCAGATACTTGCATACCCTGCACCTTGTCCAACGGGCTTTGCAGGAATGAGCTGGACTTTGCATACGGTTATGTTACACTGGATAGTCAGTGCTTGCCCAAGACAGAAGACTTAGTGCTTTCTAGGCAAAACCTTCAAACATTTTCTGCTTGAGCTGAGAAGGACTCTTACTCTACAGGTAGAGAATACAAGTGAGATAAAGGCCTAAATGTGTTATATAGCATGTGAGTGACACAGAATGAGGGCCCCTAGCTTCTCCCGGGGAACTGCACCTGCTGGATACCGATATCACTTGAGCCTATGACATGTGGGTGCAAGGTTTGTCTTTGCTAGACATGTTCATGATGGGAAAAAGCTTTCTCTGCA